ACTGCATGAAAAATAAAATACATAAAATAACATCAAGTTTAGGACATGGATACACTAAGATGAATATTAATGCCTAAGCACCCAGTACACTGTATTTGTGTTATCTTTGCCAAAATGGTGCCTATTTAGACAATAGCCTGTTACTCCTAGATATTGAAAAGCTCTTGGTACTTTTCCTCCTCTCATGGAATTTTTCATGCTCATTGCCTGTGACACAAATTTAATATGCTTCCCTAAGGAAGCTTATAGAGAGCCAAGAAGCTTCCAGTTGAAATGCAAAATACACCAGGATGCTTCAGGAGACTACCAGAGTGATCAGAGAAGTCTTTCAGAGTGTAAGTCTGTGGTAAAAGCAGCTACATTTGCATTTTGGCAATTCAATCTTGGTGCAAGTCTGCGATACATTACAGCACAGTGATAGAATCTGCTTCTCTGGCCTTAATCCAATAACAATAAAATTCTATGAGTAACCTCAATACTTTGGGTTACTCCACTGAGTTTAATAGAATTGACTTTCTGAACCTTTAAGACATCTACTACAAACTGTGCCCTATCTCTTTAAATATGAAGCAGGCTTTTAATGCCTACAATGACCCCACATAACAGTTGCACTTGATGATCTTAAAGGTCTCTTCCAACCGAAATAATTCTATGATTCTCTAAATGTTATGAAGTATGTACATTAAGACTCCTCAAGGTCTTCCCTTAAACTGTGACCCTTACTGGCCTCATCAGAGTTAGGTGACAGAGCAGTCGTTGGCCCTCTCCCACACACCGAAACATTAAGGAGGAGCATTCACATGTTTTGTATGAAAAAAAATTCTGACTCTAGGACATTTACTTTTATCAACAAGATTTTCTAGAGGAACACAGTGATGCTTTAAAGAGGATATTCCTGGGCCTTTCATGTATACAATCAGAAATCTTGGATTCTGATAAATTCACATATGCTTCTCTCTTCACCTCACTTTTTCAAGAAACAGCCTTTGGAATTATCTCAAAAAAAGCCCTTCCTACTTGCTTATTCATATCAGCAGAGGATTTTCCAAGCTACAGCGATCCTCCCTCAGACACTGAAGCCACCACTTGAATAGCAATAGCAAACCAGCATCCTAGGCTGGTAGTATTCTGTTGCACTTTTTAAGGTATGATGGGACGATCCATAGTACACCATGATTTTAAATTGCTAGAAATATGGAATTGGAGTTTATCAACTACATGTCAAAGTCTAGGATGCCACTAAAAGAGACAGCAGCAGAAACAGAGACTCAGAGGGTTTCTGAGAGAAACTCGTCAGACTGCAAACAAAGCAAAAAGCAAAGCAAACTGTCAGATATATGATGATAGAGCATGATGGTTGAAGTTTCACAACAGCTTATTTAGGCCAAAGTGATTCACCTGTCTATTGTCACAAAATAAAATTTGATTAAAATAATATTTTTTATTTCAAATGGTAAAACCCATCTTCACTGAAGGCTAATTTCAAATTATTGCTTCTTTGCTAAAATGACAAGTCTTTGAAAAACAAGATGTTCTTTGGAGACATAGAGGACATAAGGAGAGCAGATGCAATTAAAAGCTCAATTGCCGCATCTCCCCACAAACTCTGCAGTATAATGAGGAAAATAAAACAAAATTTTCTAAAGAAACTGAAGGATGCTGCTTCTATGAGCTTTGCAGACAACAGTGAATGTGGATTTCCAAGCAAGGTAAAATTATGTTCAAGTAAATTTCTAACTTCAGTTAGCACTCTAAAATAATTACAAATTATTTCCCAATAGCCGTGATACATGATTTAAGACATTATAAGTATTAACTGCTGCTTCACACTCCAGAAACTGCTCTGCTGTTTTGCAGGTCTAACACAATGGTAAAATGAAAGCCTAGTTCTGAAGAGAACACTTCTCAGCAAAATTTGGAGAACATAAGAAGTAGCACAGGAATTGTAAAAGGAATACAGAAAAATAAGTGGAGTAAAACATCTTTCTTCTGAAACAGTAGAAAATATTTTTATATTTAATGAAGAAACCTGCTAAAATTGATGCACCTGTAATAGTAGCAATTTTGTAGCAATACAGAACAGATATAACAGTATTTTTTATGTTCAGGAGATTCATTATTTGATTTGTGAATCAAGAATAAGACTTCATCTAGGATATTAATATATCAGAGTAAATGTCTGAATTGCACATGCAGAAGGAGAAAGGAGGAGTTTGTCTGCAACGTATTTACTCTGTTGCCTCTTTATGGAACAGGGAAAGCCTACTCTTACTGATGCACTGCTAGTAAGATTTTTATCCACAGTACTTCATATGCAGCCCATCTTTCCCATCCCTCAGTGAAAGACAGAGAACCTTTGTGAGGAGCAACACAGAAAGGAGCAGCATACAAAGAAAGTCCTCAGATTCTTTAAAGTCTGCATTTCTCATCCCTTGCACTGCTGCCTTTATAAGTTCTCAGTCTCCAGTAGCCGTGAACAGAAGGTTTCCTGCTTGATAGGTAGATACATCAAAAATCATTTTGCTATTGTGGAGATACGTGAAGGGAATATAGATTTTTATCATTGCCCATCATGTTATTTTGCCTCTCAAAGCAAAAACTCCTCCTACACTATAGAACAGGAATGGATTTGGGGGCCTAATGTTTAACATGACTAGTGAGTCATCTTCTAATAGTTATAAATATCTCTCCTTTCATGATTACATTAGGCTGGAGAAGCTGGGCTTTTTGTACTTCTTTCAGCAATACAACAACTGTGGAAATGGGGGATGGGACACTTAAAAAAATTGATGCTGCAGTTGATCATTCTCTAAAGTTCTAGTGAGTCAGAAATAGATTGGGAGACATCTCTCAAAGAAACTGAGGAACAGGGTTGATATATCATACAGTGGGGAATCCTTCAGTTCCCCCCTCAGCCTGGCACAGTCATAGCAAGGAAGAGTAGCACTAACAAGCCTTTGTGTTGGATGCACATGTGAAAGCTTTGGGGGTTGACAGTGGTTCTCCCCAAAGGGATTAAAGAAGTATGAATGATCTCTACAACCTCTATTATCAGATAATTCTTAAGTGTAATAAAGTGGTGACCTAGTTAAACCACATTCCTGTTCCTGGTGTCTCTTTTTTTTTGTGGTGTCTGAGATAACAGGGAGATTATTTTGGCATCAATTTAATCTAGTTAAATAGCTTTACTGAAGATCTTTATCACTATAAATAATGGAGGTATTTGAAGTATTTGGTTACAATTCTAACTGAAGTTATCCAAAACAATGCCTCTCTAGCAATCCTCTTCTGCTGTTCCTTCACTCTGTCTGAAGAAAGTTACAAATGTTTTGAACACTTTTCAGCAATAGCTTAAAGGTACAAAAAACCCCAAAACAAAAAACAGGAAAACAAAAATGAAGAAAACTCAGTTTGCCCAAGTCTCTGATGAACATTTTAAAAATATCTATGATGGGTATCATGGAACGTGGCAAAGTGGTGTATTCATTTACTCTTCAGTAAGGAAAGATAAAGGTGAAAAAAGATCTCTAAAAGAGAAAATAACCACCTTCTCTTTTCCAAAGCAAACAAAAACAAGAATCCCTAACATTATTTGGAACATAACATCATCCACTCTGATGCAGCACAGTGGGATGAAGTACTAAAAAAGCATAAAGCACATCTGCTCATATAGCACATAAAATTTGGGTGAAATATCTCCTGGTCAGCTGACTGACCTGAGACATAAATGCGTCATGGCTGGAACATAGGTACTTGGCTGGAATGTCTGTAATGAAGTCAGCATCACGAGCGGATGATAAGTTCACGCTCAGGGGCTGTCTCCTATTTTTATAGACCTGTGGGAAAAAGCTATAATGATGCATGAGGTCAGAGCTATTGGGAATTTAGCAAAGCAGCAAGGGTTTTCCTTGACTTTCTGTAACTGATTGCACAGAGTTCTACAGTATATAATGCATGATTCAGAATAAAGAATCATAACATTGACTACGCAGTACGTCCTAAACGTTATCACAGGGCGTGCTCGTTTGTGAGGTGGCACACTGCCTGGCAGCAGAGTGGTTACTTTGACAGGCTAAGGAGACCAGAATGGTTTTTTCCTCCTCCACAAGCAATCACAAAATTCAGTAATGTCACACAAAGGAAAACATCAGATACACCACCTTCAGACATGGTCTGAAAACATCTTTCTCATCTTTTTCACCTATTCTAAAAGAAAGGTGTTTAACAACATACATGACAGGCAGCACAGGTCTTTAGTACCTAGGTTATCTGAACACCCTTTGTCCTCTTCATACAATCCCTCTTCTATCTATGACTATCACCTTTGAAAAATCAGGGGAAGTAGCCACTGCACAGTATGCAGAGTTTTAAACGTTTTAATTAGGAAGAGGAGAGACCTATGTACCATGTCTGGTACATGTGTACGGTATCTAGTATGATTATTTTCCTCATTAATAAAGCAGAACATAAATTAAATTTGCTTGCGATAAAATCTATTTCTAGACTTTGTAACTACATGGGGTTTTTTGTTAAAACCTCAAATGACTTACAGTGTTGAAGACAGGGTGTTTTTTACTCATTTGAGAATTTGTTTTAAGGATAATCACGATTTCCAGATAACCTCTCAGAAACCCCGAAACCTTCTGAAAACACAATTATTTTACAACAGATAAGCAAATAACCGAACAGAAAAAGGTTAGAAAGAGTCAACAGAATGGACAGATCTTGCTTTATGGCAAAAAGTATCTGCTTTCATCTGTCGCACATAATGAAGAAGGTTCAAAGCCATATGAGGAGGGAAAACAGAAAGTGTATTGGCTGCATATAATATGAGCCAAGCAAGCATGCAGCTAAATACTTAACAACCATGGAGAAGCAATAAACACTTACACTGAACACCTCCCACCTTTCATAACTGCTGTCACATGTCAAACCTGGCTTGAAGACTTTCAATTTGAGGTTAAAATAAAATAGTACAAATGAAAATAATATCTCCCCACCTGCTGTTTTAACTGATGTACTAATCTGTCCTTCTCTCGTTTAAGAGCCATTACTTCCTCTTGAGTCTTCTTTTTCTTTGAAGCAGACAGTTCAAGCAAGGCAATGTTTGCATCTTTTTCACTAATTGCAGCAAGCAAAGCTTCCTGTCTGATAAAATAAAATAAAAACTGTTATATTCTCATTAAAACTGAACATATACTACTATATCTACTACACAAGATGCTTTTTAGCCACTAGGAGAACAATCAACTACCTTCTGAGCACTCTTTAAATAGCAAACATTGTCAAGTCTAATCAAAATCATGAAATAACTGATTAGCGAAAAAAGTTCCCTTTATAGATCTTTCATTATTCAACTATTTCATAAAACAATGACACCAGTCTATTTTACTACAGTACAATATCCAGTAGAATTTCTGTGAAATGTTTTGTTTTTAAAAATGTTTGGCATTTATATATCTAAATTCACTTTCCTGAATTCTACAATATCTTACCTAAAGCTGTTGTGAATTATTCAAATCACACAAATTGCATAAGAAAAAGTAAAGTGGTACAGATAAAACATATTTTTATATTACCCTCTTAATTTGGCACCCTCGAGACCTCAGTACAGAAATCTCTGGACACCTTCCTCACATTTACTTAAATGTTTTCCTACGTATATATTATTCATTGTGCCACTATGAAACTATAATTCTAGAAGTAAAACATAACATCTAGAAAAGAAGTTCGTTGATCTAATTGTTCACAAGGAATCTTTTCCTTTGGAATCTTGACCCCTCATCTCCGTAAAGCAAACAGAAACTTACAGCACTCAGAAACATATAGAATTACATAGAAGCTTGCAGGGTCACATCGTAAGTAGTTTGTGAGGACATATTACAGAAATAATTTTTACAACGTGCAGTTGGAAGCACAGATCTTGCAGTATCTTATTATTTCATTTCTTACACTAAAATGTTCACACTGACAAGGCCATAATCTGTCACTTATCTTAATAAATAAAAGAAATATATTCATTTTCTGCAATGCATTCAATGACAGACAATGACTTACCAGCCAAAAAAAAGCATATTCTAAGCTTGTTATCACCTACACATTTTTCCAGAACTATATAAGATCAATCATTAAAAAATAAACATGGATAAATGAGTCATAAGTTAAACTTAGGCTCCAACTGCTAATAAATGTAAGAATACGGCTCATGAACTTCATACAGTCAAGGTGAGCTAGGAGTTTGGAATTCTCATAGTCCTTTGCTTGCCAGCATAAATGTCAAGAAAGCTATTTAACTTTTATTTCAAAATTCCTAATGTATTAATGTAAATATTTATAAGACAATATTTCTGATGGAGTCAAAGAAAAACAACCCATTTATTTTACTCTCAAAGTTTTGAGACATGGATCAATTTTAGATAAACAGTTGCATTTTATTCATACACTTAAATAGTCTCATTTATTATTCTGTCTTCTTCATTCTAATCACAGTTAAATAATGTTTAAAAGAGGATGCCATAAGTCTCCAACAGCCTTAATTTAAATGAAAGCTATTAATTAGTTTAAATAGCAGGTATTAAATAAAAAAATATATCGGAGGGTCACATATCCATAATGATAATTTGAAATGAAATATATATTGCTTTCTATAAACCTCATAATAACGCATAAAACTTGTTGCATAGCAATTTGTAACAGTCAGTAGAAATTTGTAATATCATTGTTTTCATGTGTTTTGCTCAAATACGGTATCAATTACATAACATTCTCATTAAGATCTTAACTTTTTAATGCTCTGAAGTAGAAGAAAGCTGAATTGCTACTGTATTCAACAATTTCTCTCACCTTGCAGAAAGCAGAGAATTTATGCACCATATAAAATCTAAATATGCCCTCTTTTGAGCGTTTGGCTAAAACAGAAAGAAAAATGTAGCACAATTTCAGCTTTTTCTCCACAGTAGCTTTTACATACCAGTCTGTACTTTTTTGTTTCAGAAATGTGTCCTAACTCCAGGAGGTGTGAGGGATGATAACATAACCTTTCTGAGAGAAAGCGTCAGCAACAGGAATTCTGTGACTTTAAAGCCAAAGAAACACCATATTGCATTATTACATAAAACACTATTCTTATAAATTAAATAAGATTATGTTAGTACCTCTACAGTTATCTACTAGCACACTGTATTATAATTACAAAGAAAGGTTAGTCAGAAGTTTTGACAATGTTCCAGTCGTCTGCATCAAGGAACATTTTCCAATTTTTAACTTGCATCATGGAACAATTTGTCGTTATTTTGAAAGTTATTAAAATAAGGTTTCACAATGTTGCTCTGGTTTTCAGGACATGTAGGACAAAGATTTGCCCTGTCTGCAATTAACACCAGTGGGATTAAATCCTAATCTTTAATTCATGGTAATCATTGCTGTAAAGTAGGTACCTCTGGTGAACTGCAAAACATAAATCTATTTATAACATAATTATCAGTCTAAAGATATACTTATTTAATAGCTGAAGATAAACATTGACATAACATCACAAACCCAACACACTGACAAAGAAAATAAGTGAAGAAATATACATCTCAGAAATTCCAAGGTTTTTAAATATATTTGGATTAATGTTTAAATTACGTAAGTGAACTCCATCCCATGAAGATCCAATACGTCTGCTCATCTAATAGAAAATTTCATGGTAAATACTTGCCATTTACGAGGTTTCTAATTATATATATACGTTATATAATGATATGTAACACATACTACAGTCATTAAAAGCAAAAACAGAATAAAAGTTTTAAATTGTCTTGAAAACTACATGAAGCTATACTGAAGTTTCAGTTATCCTCCCCAGTTGAGACTATTTCACTGCCTCAAAATTGGCAGTGAAAACACAAACCTGACTAGTGAGGAAGAGAAGTCAGAACTACTGAATTATTTGGTATCATTTCAACATCTAATAATGGGATTCACTCACATTCATCTTTTTTTATTGCCAGCCAAAAAAAAAAATCACACGTTCTTGTGGTCATAACTGTGTGATACTCCCTAGCCCCACTTTAAAGTAGCAAATGAGATAAAACCTTCCACGGGAGAGAAGAGCCAGTAAACAGGCTTTGAAAAATCTGCACTCAGGATTCTGTAGCGCCAAACCCACAAGATTTTGCAGACCTTAGCATACTTTTTTTTAGCTTGATGGTGTTGAGGGATTCTGAAAGCCAACTAGAAGTTATACGAATGTTTTTGCAAGGGAAAGCTAACAAAATCTTTTTTCTCTATTGTCTTGTGGCTCACAGGATAATTCCATTCAATACACAACTTCTCCTGTCTTGGGAAATACCTAGGAAAATACATAACCAAACTCTTAATTCCAGGAAATAATGACTCATACAAACACTTCCAGGAAATTATGGTTCATAGTCATGCAAAATAGCTGCTGTCATATGACTCCGTAAGTGCTCAACTGAGACATTGTAAGATTTGAATCAAACCCCCGACACGTAAACTAGTTTGAGTTTGCTCCCCAAAATAATTGTCAATATATTTTTTAATTATTTTTAAAGTAGATGTAAGTGGAGTTGGGAGATGTTAAACCTACAAATGTTGAGAGAGGACTGCACAAGCATACAAGAATGGCGATTTCTACTAAAAATTTCTGCTTAAGATGACTACATCTGCAGAGATGGGCAGCTGGATGCAAACTCACACTGCCAGTCCTCTTGAAGCCACCTACTCAGCTCAGAAGCTGTAAAGCCTCATTTATCTAAGAGACAAGGTGTTTTAGCTTGGGCATAGTGCCACACAACATGCTGATGGCTTCCAGACTGAAACTGGCTCACAAACAGCCTGCCCAGAGTGTGGGCAGAGCAAGCTTGCATCTGTCTGCACCTGTCTGCACAGACATGCTCCTGCAGTGTGTCAGCATATTATCTGTGTCTATTATCATGGATAATCTGAACAGTAATAACCTCAAATATATAATCCAGTGGCATTTAACCACACATCCGGGTTAACAAGAGTTCAGCAGAGTGGGACTGTGTATTCTACCAAATGATACATGTTGGTTGCTTATATCCTTAATAATTAACTACTTCAATACAAAGGGAAGACAAAGAGACAAAAAGACATCATTACTTTACAGAGTACAAAATAAAGATGCAGGTTGTGACAGGGCATCTAAAGAAACCTCCTTCACTTTCTTCTTCCACTGAGTCCCTGGGAGACAGAGACTGAAAAGTATCTTGCTCATACTGCTCAGCCATTGCAAGGGAAGACATCCAAGCATTTATGAAGCAGCCTGTGGGGACAGACCTGGAGTTCTACATTATCATATCTCATTTATAACACATCACACACAGGTTTGCCCACATCTGTGAAAGGTGCTGTGCTACCCTACCAACTTACTTCAAGTTTCCTACGGAAGAACCGCATTTGATGAACAGAAGCAATTTATTGCAGCTACCAAGTGACCCTGCTAAAGAATTTATATCACCATTTTTTGCAGGAAACATTTGAAATGAGATTATCTGACCACTAGAAACAAGCCTAAGATGCCAGCGAAACAGCTGACAATAAGAACTTTCTCACTTACAAACATGAAGTAAATTTCATTCAAAAATGTAAACAGGTGGCGAGGTCTTTGTCTAAATCTCTCAGGTGAGTCACTCACTTCTACATTGCCACAAGAAACTGAAACTCATCATGCATTTCTATTAAAGGATGTCTGAAAATCAAGACCTGAACTGGCACCAAGAACAACATACAGCCTGATACACTCTCCAGCTAACATGCTTCAGAGTGTAAGTAAAATTTATAATTCCTAATTATCTACTGTGTCAGGAAAAAAAAATGACTGTACAAATACAGTTCTATAGAGATGTTATCACTATTTGCAGCCAAAATGTCTCCTTATTGTTTAATAAATGATGGTAATAAAATACATTTTAAAATAATTTATTAGAGCACTGAATTAAATGACATTCTTTAACAGTAATATTTATAAAGAGTAATCCTTTCTGCTATTAGTAGTTTTTCCTCTCTCTTTTTGGCAAACTAATGTGTTATATAAATAACAGGGTAGCACTTTTAACACCAAGAAAAATTACCCTAAATGTACGCAGTAAAATTAGGTAAACTCTCAGATTAATAAAATC